TCTATTAAGAATGTCGATCTTTCAGAGGCCCAGAATGCAGCTCTCTCACAATTACTTTTATCGTATAAAGATATTTTCGCCTCATCTAGCCTTGATCTCGGCCATACTTTCATCATCGAACACGAAATTTACACAGGGGATGCTCGGCCTATTAAGTCTTCACCTTATCGAGTCTCTCAATTGCAACGTGAAGAAATTGAAACACAGATTTCAAATATGCTATCTCAAAATGTGATTCAACCTTCTTCGAGCCCTTGGAGCTCTCCTGTAGTTTTAGTAAAGAAGAAAGACGGTACGACGAGATTTTGTGTCGACTATCGAAAATTAAATGCTGTCACTCGCAAAGACAGTTATCCTCTTCCTCGCATTGATGATGCCCTTGACGCTCTTTCTGGATCTCAGTTCTTTACAACGCTCGATCTGCAGTCGGGCTATCACCAAGTTGCCATGCATCCGTCTTCACGAGAAAAAACTGCCTTCGTTTCACATGCAGGATTGTTCGAATATAATGTAATGAGTTTTGGTTTAACAAACGCTCCACCGACTTTCCAACGATTGATGTCGAGAGTTCTTGCTGGCCTAGAATGGAAGGTTTGTCTCATCTATATAGACGATATTATCGTTTTTTCTTCTACTTTTGAAGAACATTTGCAAAGGCTGTCTCTCGTTTTCGATCGCATACGTCAGGCTAACTTGAAATTGAAACCAAGTAAGTGCCACTTTGCTCGCCATTCTGTGAAATTTCTTGGGTTTATTGTCTCTGCAAATGGTATTTCTGCTGACCCAGACAAGCTTGAAGTTGTAAACTCGTTTCCAGTGCCGTCCAATGTGAAGGATGTACGCAGTTTTCTTGGTCTCTGTAACTATTACAGACGTTTTGTCCATGATTTTGCACGCATAGCTTCACCTATAAATCAGCTAACAAGAAAGGACGTCAAGTTTGTGTGGAGTGCTGAATGTCAACACGCTTTCAACATACTAAAGCAGAGTTTGTGCTCCAATCCTGTTTTAGCTTATCCCGTTTTTAGTGAGCCTTTTCACCTGTATACTGATGCCAGCAACTCGGCTCTTGGGTATATTATCGGCCAACGGGTTGAGGGTGTGGAGTATGTCGTGGCCTATGGTGGGCGTGAGCTGAATAATGCTGAAAAACGCTATAGCACCACGGAACGTGAAGCTCTTGCTGTAGTGGATGGAATTAAACGGTATCAACCTTATCTTCATGGCCGTAAATTTTTTGTCCATACAGACCACAGTAGCCTCTCATGGCTCATGAATGTGAAGGATCCTACAGGTCGGCTTGCTCGCTGGGCGTTGCAGCTGCAGCAGTACGATTTTGACATTGTTTATCGCCCTGGACCTTCCAACAATAACGCAGATGCGCTTTCACGACGATCTTATTCCTCAACCACTGTTTCTGGTCTTTCTCCGCCTATGGCTTCTATTAGGCACCCATGTCCTGCTCCTCCACAGCTCACCAAATTACAACGCGAAGATCGTGACCTTTTCGCCATTATTGAGTACCTCGAGTGTTCTCTCTTGCCAGATGATAACAATAAAGCGCGTACTCTGCTACTGACTGTCGACTCGTACTATCTGGACTAAAATGAGGTTTTATGTCATTTATGGACACCTAGTAAACGACATGTTCAGTCTTTATGTTCTCAGGTGGTAATTCCTGCAAGCCTTCGCCGAGAGATTCTTATTGCTTGTCACGATGAACCTACTGCTGGTCATTTAAGCGTTTTTAAAACGTATGAGAAAATTCGTTCTCGTTATTATTGGCACGGCATGTATAAAGACGTTGAACATTGGTGTACTTCATGTATTGATTGTTCGATGAAGAAGGTGCCTAGGGGTAAGAAGAAGGCACCCTTGCTGCCTATTCCTGTCGAAGGAGCCTTTGATCGAGTAGCCATGGACGTCTTAGGCCCGTTTCCCGTTACAAACGACGGCAACCGTTATATTGTGGTTTTTTCTGATTATTACACACGGTGGCCTGAAGCTTTTGCTTTGCCTTCTACTGAAGCGTCTCTTATTGCTAACTTGCTTGTGGACAAGATTCTCGCTCGCCATGGTGCTCCAAAAACGCTTTTATCAGATCGGGGTTCAAATTTTCTTGCATCTATCGTTACAGAGGTCTGCAAATTGCTCAACACTCGCCAACTTCGGACTACCTCGTATCATCCGCAAACGGATGGACTAGTCGAAAGGTTTAATGGTACCCTTGCGGAAGCGTTGTCGATGTATGTCAGCTCAAATCAGAGGGATTGGGACCGCCACCTGCCACTGGTGCTTTTCGCTTACCGTGTCTCGCCTCACGCTACGACCCACGAATCGCCGTTTTATCTTTTATATGGGCGAGAGCCTCGTCTGCCAATTGATGCGTCTCTTATTTTGCCTTCGACAGCAAAACTCTCGTCCTCCGTTGCAGAACACCGTGCTCGCATTGTCGAAAATCTGGAAAACGCCCATCGCATAGTTAAGACAAATACAGAGTTGACTCAACAGCGCATGAAACACTACTACGATCAGAACAGTGCGCCAGTCTCCTTTGATATCGGATCCAAAGTCTGGGTGTACACCCCAAAAACGAGAAAGGGTCTTTCCAAAAAGTTGGCCCATAACTACCACGGACCATATCGCGTTGTCAAGAAGTTATCGCCCGTTCACTTTCGTTTAAGGACACTCGACAACCGTCCAGTTAGTGTTCCAGTGCACGCAAACCGCATGAAGCTGTACGTCGATCCGTCGGACCGTCCAACCGCTGCTCCTCCGCAATGTGACACGTTCGTTGATCTCAGTGATGTGGATTTACCGCCAGACAGTTTTCTACCAGAACCTAACCCGATAGCAAAGAGTGACTCGTCTGTAGATGAGCCCTCTATCACTCGTCCCGAGGATTACTGTACACCACAGGAGATTTTACCAGTTTGACGCGTTTTCGAGCCGGGAGGCTCGATTTCAAAGGGGGAGGTTGTGTTGTGCACCAGATCGAACGAACCATTGTAGGGTATAATTTAAATATTTGGCAAACACTTTATTTCCGCTGTTAATTATCTATGTTTCTTTTGGTTGTAGTTCTTACGTGTTTTTAGCTGATTGGTTGTTATTAATAGTTGTAAAATGCTTGTATCTATAAATACGCTGTAGTAGTTTTAAGAATGAGGCTTTTTGGGAGAAGCATCTTGCTGTTCGTTCAAAGTACTGACAAAAGAAGTCGTTGTCTCTCTGTTCCTCTCTGCCACAAGTCGAGTTGAAAAGGGCCGTGAGTTATTTTATATATACTTGGTTGCACTGTAGTTAAAGTGTAGTATAACAATACTCTATATAATTTCTAAGACGGGTAAACGTTTTACTGGGTAAAGTTTAAAAATAAATTGTTTTTATGTTTATAAATTGCATAGTTTTGTTCTGTTGACATGACATAAATTTCAAACTGCGAATTGTTTTTTTTTAAATTTCTCATCTGAAGCTGAGCATGTTCTAGCCTTGTTCTTATTTTTTGGGCAAATCGAGCCTCGGTGTTCTTATGAAATGTGTTCTTATAAAAAATGAGTGTATCGCAAATATTACAAGCTTTTTTAAAGACTAGAAGCAAAGGTACTAATTTTCAGCGTATTTTATATTGGTTACTCGACTGGTGTCTGGCGGGGCCAAACAATTGTGAAAATAATGCTTGTTCTTCATTCCCAATGAATATGTATTCACCATTGGCTGGACTCATGTTTTGTAAAAACTGGCATGTTTGGGTTAGGGGTGTTTATTCAAGTGTGTGAGCTTATCACCGTTATGGCTGGCTTCCAGTGTGTGTGCTATTTCGAGGATTTAGGCTAGAGTTACAGTATATCAGATTGCTATCGGAGCAGAGCGGAGTAATTTTAACTCAGGAGGGATATTTTGGGTAGCAGTCCTTTCAATATAGTTTAAATTTAAAATGCAAGTCTTAGTTGAGCTGATTTTTTAAAGTCTATTAAAAAATTTCAGCGATACTCTAAACCTATTATAACAGTTCAATAATTTGCTCTACAAAATATCAATGCTACATACAATGCAGGCCTACCTCTTTACATGAAGATGGAAGTGATATTACATTATGGGTTTCATCATTGAACATACTGATGCTTATCACTGGTACACTATCGCCATAATGCATGCATCAGCTGAAATATCGTTCAAATTGTCCATAGAAACTGAAATTTCCGAAAAACTTGACTATAGTTCCATAATTGACCCTTTTACAGATACAAAGACTTTGAAATTGTTTTGTTAACTAGCTAGAAAATTACCTATAGCTACTAGCTCTGTTTGACAAACACAAGGGAGTTTTAAAACTGTTGCTGCTTCTACCTTATTTCATTTAAAAGTGTTTCCTATTATTTTTGCTATTATTGACAGGTCTTGATAATGGTTTTGATAATATTAATTTTTTAGTTAAGTTTTTTATCTATGGGTGACATCACGTGACCACGCTTGGCTACACCCACTACATAATCAAGTGGTGACAAGCAGATTCTGAAAGGGCTTAAAATTTCAAGTAAAAATAACATCGCGAGAAATATCCGTTTTTCATATTCGAAAGATTCTAGCCATGCTCCTGTCTAATAACAGATATGGAAGAATTCAACGCGCTGCTTCCAGAAAGAAAGGCAGTATAGTGTTTGAACCTACTCAATCTAAAACAGTGACAGCAGCATCTCGGCACATTTTTCAAATACTATCTGTACCCTGTTTTCTTTAGAATGTCAAAATATCCATAAAAAATTAGCCAAGTGACCAAGATTCATGCTGATATCCAATCTTTTCACATCTTTCGTAATTTAATGGAGAAAAAGCTCTGAGTTCTTTACATTGTTCTTAACAATTTGCTGGTATCTATGTCACGCCTAAGCTCGAACCAGTAATTTAAACACGTGTTTTTGAACTTGGGCTAACAGGATTCAACAGGACCGTCGAAAGCCAGCTCGTGCGCAGAGTTTATTTACTTGACTGCCCCCCCCCCTAAAAAACTTGTGCCCACGCCCTTCAGTTCCCGGAGAACTAGAGAAACGCCCATTTTAGCTACAATTGTTGAAAAGGTTTTTTAAGGATTTGATGCAAATCCTTATTATGCAAAATTATGCAAAAAACACCATGAATCAAGGACAACATGGTATAGTTTTTCTCTGCGATAAATACAGGCGTTGATTCCGTATGAGTAGCTAAAAAAGTAACTTTTTAGCATTATAAATAGATCTGTTTACTTTTTTATGGGCCACATCGAAGCACGGGCCGGGACATTTTGCCCCTTCTAACCCTCCTCTCGATGCCCCTGGGATTCAAGCATCATTTATAGAAATAAAAAATGAAGTTTTTGTTGCTTTTATAAAAATTTTAATGTATAGCTTTTTAAAAACTTGTAGGGTTCATCGTAAATTATTGAGAGGTCTTCATTTTGTGCAGGCCAAGAGAAATTAACAAGACAGCGTTTCGAATAGGCAAGCTTTGCGTACGACTTCAAAATTTCACTTTCGAAGAAAAGCTTAATGCATGATAAATGTATGAAAATTCAACACAGTGAATAAATCTAAAAATTGAATAAATCAAAGAAAATTATACTAACAAATTATACTAGCAATAATAGAATGAGAAAATCATACAATATGATATTAATTTTCTTAACAGAACAACGTTTGTTTCAATAACATCTTATAATTCAATTTTATATAGTTTAAATCGTTGTTATTATGGATTAATTACTGTTTTACTGGTTTGATTTGATTTGATTTGATTTGATTTGATTTGATTTGATTTGATTTGATTTGATTTGATTTCAAACGAATAGTTGAGATATCTGTCATACTACATTACAAACACAAATAATCTAGAATATTACTGGCAATCAAATTGCAGGCATAAAATGTAGGTATGGTCTTTTTTCATATGGCTATAGAGTTATGCTTAAATTTTAAAATTTTTGCTTCATAAAGGGCCCACTCCTCGAAATTCTTAGAGGCCGGATGGCTATCAAAACAACAACTTGAGGAACTCTATCGAAAGTTCCAGCCTATATTTTTGTATGGAAATTGTTGTAGTGCAAAAATAAAGCATTTTAAAACCTGTGCTTCTTTTGTCCATTTTAGATTTTTTTCTTTTTTATATTTAAAGTTGGTACAATTTCCAGCTATGCACACTCAAGCTGTTATGAATTGGTAGTTTCTTAAGTAATATGGGCATTCATTTATGGAAAATATTTCATCCATAAAAGGTTGATTTAAACCGTTAAATGTCTTTTAAATTTCTATCGCAAGATATTGTAAATTTTTCTTATGAGAAGCTATTGTTTTATTCTTTATTAAAGTTGTTCAAAAGTTGATTCTATATTATCATGAGCTGTTCTCATTGCTCTTTCATGAATCCTGGAAGAATCTAAGATACTGTTACATGGTTATGAGTTAGAATGAGAAAGGTATCAGCATTTGCCATCATTTTCAATTCACTGTACTTCTAAAGAAAGGAAATTTTCTTCAGCACTTTCTTTGACCTTTTGAAATCAGTAGCTATTACTGGAGGCTGCGTTTTCCTTTGCGACCCGCATAACGACCAGAACAACAAGAAGAATGTAGAAGCATAAACCTAGGCTCATGCTAATCCTATTCAATTTTTTGGCTCTGGCAGATGCGGCATTTGCAGCAGTCAGGTCTCCACGCCTTGTGGCATTATCCACCTGAACAATCAAGCAGCAATCAATGAGTAAAGAAAGATATCTACAAACATTTGCCAGAAACCTAACTATAATGGTGAAGCCAGCTATGGGGAACTGATCATGTACTAGGGTTAACAAAGTTATGATTGGGGTCAAGGTACCAAATGCAAGTTCATGACAGCTCTCTGGGGAAAACTGTTATTCTGCTTTCGTTGAAATGCCCAGAGAAGCTAAAATACGGGTTAAGCAGTGAGTATGTTGCAAAAAATTGTTTTCAGAGCATGTAGAAGACATTTTGTAAGGCAACTTTGGCTTTGGGGGGGGGGGGGGGGGGGGAGGGGAGGAGGCTAGGCAATAACATGCTTTCAAATTCCAAGATACAGTTTTACTTAATCGCTACTTTCAGGAGCTGCACGATACATCATAACATCAATCTTTTATGAGCCATTAACTCTTTCTAATAAATTTCTGCTACTGCTGGAATAAATGCAGGTTTCTTTAAACAAACTTTTTGTGGTACAGAATTAAAAAGATTGAGAAAAGAAAACATTTTGAAACATAGTACTAAAGCTTTTCGTCTGACAGTCTTCATTGTAGAAAATGTCACAGCATAGATCGAAAACTCTACGCTAGGAATTATAATACACATACTGAAACTTGCAGTCTGCAAGCACATTAATGTTTAGGTTGACCAATCAATGCCACTTGCCTATCGAAAATATTACCAATGGAGTCCTAAGGTGTAAACGAACTCCTTCTGTCTACACAATAGTGTCCTCTTCATGTTTATATAAATAGATTCCAAAACTGTTAGATGGAACAATCGGGCTCAACCAAAAATCCGAAACATGTCGCCATTATAGCTTTTGGCACAATCTGGGTCTTCTAGTGAATGCTGCCCGATACCTGAATCGCATGTTTTTGATCTGTAAGATCGAGGAGGCCGTTCTCTTTGAGGAGAATTTTGCTTCTAATGATCCAAGGGACATGTGTTTTATTATATCCCCAATCTCTGCGTTTTGCGCCCTACATAGCCAGAATCACGCTCGCACGTAAACTCGTAGTGATAGGAATGCAAACCTTCTCAATGGATGCAATGGCCTTTTTGTACTGTAAACAACAGTGGCGTGGTGGCTCAAAATTGACCACCAACTTTTTTCGGCACCCCCTTAAGTAAAGCCCATAGTATAATTTTATCAGGACGGGTGAAATGTAATTGAAAATGGAGGAAAGAGGGGGGGATGGCACAATGCTATCATTGTTCAGGAGTTTCATGAAGGCCGCCATCATGGTTGGCTGGAAGAAACATTTTGGCATGGTTGGCTAGAAGAAAGTATAACATTATAGGGACTGCTGGAAATGCATCTAAAATTATTTCAATATCGATTGAGATTGGATAAAGTTTCTAGGCAGTATTCATAAGTTTTGTTTCGTCATTATGCTTTAACGTTTAGTTGGTCAATCGGTTTGATGAAGGGTGCTACCGAGGCACCACCAGGTTTAGCAGCAAGGAACATTTTTGCAAGTATGAAGTTCTTTGAAACTCTAAGAACTCATTAAAAATATTACAACAAAGATTTAAAGACCAGAAAAAAACATGGAAATGTTCATAAATTTTTCTTTATCATAGGGTTTAGTGAAAGCCACCATCATGGTTGGCGGTGAGAAAAATTTTGAAATATGATATTGTAAGAATGGCCAAAAATTTCAACCAGAGGGCTGTGCCCCCTGAGCGACCCCCACCACTACACCCCTGTTCTTGGTGTCAAGATTTTGCATGTACTCGTCAAATGTGAAAGAATCAATTGGTGCAATGTTAAGAATATTTTTGAAGAACATGATCCAAAACTTTAGAAAACTTAGCCAATTCTGGATTCAAGAACAGGATCCAAAACTTAATCCATTCGTGTTGCGCTGAGCTAGTCATAGACACGATGGGTCTAAGACCCTGGTTACACGAGACTTGGACCAGATCAGATCCAAAAGGCTGCTTATATCGATGCTTGTGGATCCGATCCCAGGCGTTTACAAGGGATCGGATCCAGATGAGATCTACAGATTACGTGATAACGCCCGACCTTTACCTCATTTGACTTGATAATGGCAAAAAGACTGACTGGCCAACAACAACAGAAGCAAGTAATTATAGACAATGCCATGTGGTTTGGTGGGGCAACCATCACTTGCGGAGCCCCTGTAGCCATACCAGGTTGAGAAACAACATCAGTTGTCTGGTTACTAGAGGCCTTAAAAGGAAAATAGATTTGTTAGCTTTAAGACTTTGAACAAGGATTTCTTAACACAGTATAAATATGGTAAAGAAACCTACAAAAGGGGTCGAGATTGAACGGTTGAACTTTTAAACTCCAGGTCGTCGGAAAATAAAGTAAGCGACATTTCTTGATGTAAATTCATATTCGTGGAGCGCAGTTGTAACGGCAGTGGCATCAATTCACAATGTTTTTCGGAGCTTTGATTCTCACATTTTTAACGGCTAATAACTGAATAAACTTGCAAAAATGAGTGAAATTCACCACAAAGCATCTTCTTTACACAAACCAGCTGACCGCGCACTAGTCTAAAAGCGGAGGTGCTGAAATGGGTGTATCCGAAAATTTTTGAGGCCACGCCCTCTAGAACGCCAGAAAACGCCCCTTTTAGAAAATACTTGCTTATTTCTACTCAATTTATATAAACAGTCTGGTTCAGAGAAGATAACAATAAATTAAATTGATATAAAATGGACAAAATTAGCTTGAGGATACATCATACAAAATTAGCTTGAGGATACAGGATACAAATGCAAAGCTATCCAAGTTAGAGAATACATCATATTATTAAACCAGATAAAACACTTAAAAAATTAACAAAAAGGTTCCCAGTCAAAAATAACTGCTTTTACATAGGAGTAAACAATCCAACGTTACGTTAGAGTAAACTTTTCAAAAAATTATAGCCTATTATTGCAAAGAAGTGGGGAGGGGGGGGCTATAGCCACTGTTAGCCCCATGGCTGCGCGGTGCCTGATCCAAGCTAAGACAGAAAAGATGAAGACTGATGCCATCTCACCACATTTGACGAAAGTGGCAGGTAACGCTGTGAATACTTGTATGGAGCTTGCTCTTCAGGAAAACTGGTGCTTGGATAGGTGGTTGGAGGAAACCCTGGTGCGTTGCTTGAAGGGTAATGCGTGAGTTGCTGCCCATACTCTTGCGAAGGAGGGTATTCTTGTTGCACAAAGCCCTGAGAATATCCTTGTTCCTGACTGTATGGTGGTGGTGCTTGCGCTGAAAGTGATAAGTTGTCTTTTGATCAATGGCATCCCTCAACATACACCTATTCAACTTACGGTCTCATTTTGAAAAAGTTTACAATTTTTTTGTACAAAATTTTTTTACCTCAGATTCGAATTGAGCGTAAAGAATTAAGTCTACTTGGAAGTTTTCTTTATGGTATTACTCAGATAAAAGATAAAAATTTTATAAGGGATTTGACCGTGATTGGCGACTAGGGGGGTGAAGTTTCCCCCGGAATGATTTTTGCCGTCAAGTCCCTTTACTAAGCACAAACAGTATGAAACATTGTATCTAGCATTAAATAATTGCCACAGAACTAAAACTGAGCTTTAAAAAGTCGTATAATGAGGTTTGGGGAAATTTCCAAAACGTGGCCGTAAGTCGAATTGGTGTATTAAAACTGGATTTTTCGGGGTTTTCTTAGCACTTAAAACACTTTAATTGCTAGACTGCATCCAGAAAGCGAAATTATCTCAAGCATTGTTTTTTGCTTATCAAGATGGAAATCCAAATGTTACTGAATGAGAAATTTTACTAAGAAAGTTGCTGGCGCTCTAGAACAGAGGCTGGCGCTCTACAATAATCATGCTGCGAAGCTCACAGTAACATCAATATATACTGATGATTTGATTCTTTTCTTCCATTCTATATTACATTACATTCTAAATGGAATTTTTTTTTTCTAAATGTGGTAAAGACATCGGGAGTGCTCGTTTAGAGGTGTTTAAATTAGAGTAGTCTAGATATCGAAGCTAAGCATGCAATCATTTTGATTTAAACGAAATCTTTCATTTGAACATTTCTGTTTGATTTTTAAGATCTTCATAGGTTTTTTTGGGTTTTAACTATATGGTTTACATTAGGGTTAGAGACAGAGGGGCTGGGAGGGCTGCACCTCCCATAATCAAGAAAAATGTATAACATTCGGGCTCTATTCGGGCAGTTCTGTCGCAACGAAGCAATGATATTCAGACAAGAACCATACTGAGCACCCCCCGCCCTGAATGTTTTGCATCTGCTATGCCCATGATGCTTTAGGCGGGTGCGTGTAATCAATCAAATTGCTTATAAATATTTCTTTGATATTTGCTTGTAAACAATAGAAATTATTGTTAAAAAATTGATATACTAAGTGCAATAAGAGATGAAAATATTTTAAGAGGCTATCAAAATTGAGATGGTAGGCAGAGACCAGAAAAGTTGTCAACCTTTCTCCAGTAAAGAAAATCTATCTATAAAAGAATCCTCATTTTTGGCGTTGTGATGTATTATCTAGACTGGTTGCAGTTACTTATCTTATCTTTTCATCTTGTGTTATACATATGTTGCATCTTTTAAAGGCACTATGTCCCGTCAGTCAGTCATCTAGAGCTAACAAAATGGCTCTGCAGCCTGATCATGATCGAAAAACAATGAGAATTAGGCGATTGGATATGTAACAATGGGTCAGTTGTATAGTCCAACCAATGCGAAATTTAAGTGGTCCGCGAAATGCATCGGGGCCAAATGCCATTAAACCAGCATTGCTAATTGGGTCGATAAAATGAAGATGAAATGAATTAGTGATAATTTCACATGTTCAAATTGACAACCTAATCCCTAATATTATAAACATCACAAAAATTTCAATACATAAGAACTGCAGTGGAATTGTGAAAGACATATTCAGGGCATTTGAAACGGTTGTCATGTATATGTACCTGTGAATGTAATGGCTAGAATGAGCTGTTTTTAGAGGGATACCAAAGTAGATAATTCCACGAAGAGTAAATTTTTTCTTTTCATCTTAACTTCTTGCTGTGTGTTAGTGATAATGTTATGAATCAAGACAAAAATTAAAGTGGTTATGCATACAAAGCAAACAGAACTCACGGTTGCAAAGATCTTGTAATCCTTGGTCCATATCTTTAATGAACAGCTACCAATAACTTTAACAGAATTCTTTGAAAATCTAAAAATTATACCAAAAAGATCAAATAATACGAACCTCCTAAGAATGCACCATTAGCCTTTTTAACAAATTACAAAGTATGCCACCATTCTTGCAGACTTACTTGCTAACAATGACAATTTTAAACGTAACTAAAAGAGTTGACTAATTTTGCACAGAATAAACATCCACTATAACAGCAGAATTTCGGGATAGCTGATTTTTTTATTAGAAGCGATCGTAAACGACATCGTCACAAGCTCATTTTGGGAATAACTATCCGACAGACGGAATAAGGTCCTTCCACCTCCCGTGTGACACTGCTTCTTGTGTGACACTTGCCTTCTACCTCATGATTAAATATACACTCTATCATTTGCAAAATTTTATATTTGCTATCGATACTTACATCTTAAATTTGTTTTTGAGATGGTAAGGCAGGAGAGATGTACCGTCTATAAACTTCGTAAAGCAGGATTCAAAATTTCAAGCTGAATTCACGTTGTGCGCAATAAGATGCAGCATGTGGTTGAATTCATTACACAAATTGTTGTTCCTCCTTTAAGTAGAGACAGAAGTAGAGACAATGAACATTTATGTTGATCATAGCAACCTTGAATGAATTTAAACTTTGCTTATGCATTACAGGCAACTCAGAATTCTTTTTCATTTACATGATGAAATATTCATTGCAGGAAAATATTGTACAGAATGAGAAGCATGATCATGGATATGGAAAGAATTCAGATTGACGTCATTCACATTTTTTGAATATATCAGCGCCCGGGGGCTTATTTAATTTTTGAGGCTCCAGGATGGGCGCTTATTCGAGGGAGGGCGCTTATTCGAGGGGGCGCTTAATCGAGGGGGGCACTTATTTAAAATAAAGATTTGGAAGTGACTAAAGAAATGAATGTGTTTTCAACTGAAGCGTGTTATTATGATGGAAAGGCAAAAAAATGAGAATGAAAACTAAAACCAACTGTGTTGGTCATTCAATCTTTCTTGGTGAATTGCCTACCAATTATGTTGTCGTCGAAAATTCGAATAAGCGCCTGTTTCTGAAAGTTGAAGGATGGGTGCTTATTCGAGAAGATGGGCGCTTATTCGAGGGGGGCGCTTATTCAATAATTTCACCTCTAGGGTGGGCGCTTATTCGAGGGGGGTGCTTGTTTGAGGGGGGCGCTTGTTCGAGGCATTACGGTATTACAGTACATACGAAACCTTCTGCTTACCTTTGATATTTCCTGTAGACAATGCACTTTTCTGGTTGATGTAAAAGATCACAGATTTCGTTACATCAATATAGGTTCAAGATCACAGATAGATATGTTCTTGACATTCTAATAATTGAGTATATTGACTGTACGGTACTAAATGCACATTGACAACACATCATTGCTCGATTAAATATTGAATTTTCAAATAAACAAACAATTTTTTTCAGCATTGTTGTACTTTACAGGAGTTAGGAGGGCTCGAGGAAGATACCACCCCCCCCCCTGTCGGAGCATGCTAGCCGTAGGAAATAAACATGTTCTGCTATCATTAGCCCCGCGTTGCCGGGAAATTTTTGATGCTGTTCTTTCATATAACTAGGCAATACGTTATCCCTTCAATATCATTTTGTAATGGTTCGCTCATATATATCAATAATTTTTTACCTGCGCTCTTGAAAAAAAACATCTTGACGTGCGATCAATATTTTCGTTCTGATTATCCTCTTACTTTCATTTTTATTTTAGCAAATCAACTCTTTATCATTTCCTTTTACTGCCCTTGCAATTTTGGGCTTACATGTAATACGCAGATGTTGCAGATTTTATTAATTACTTACCTGACTTAAAAACCTTCATTTTGCAATGTTTGAAAGGTCTCTTACCCTTGCTCACTTGATAAGTATTTTCCCTGGTTTACCTATTACTAAACCGATTATTAAATCCTGTCTCCATTAGTTGTCTTGTCACGAAAAATAGCAAAAAACTAATTGATTTTTACCAACATGTCCTTTTTTAAAGTCCATTTCAATGCATGCTACCTTTCATTTGGTATTCTTTGTCTTACAATTTGGCAATGTCAATATATCTTACAATGAATTGAAAAATCTGCTGCAATCGAAACCGATGGCTTTCAACTATTGCCTGGACAATCCTACAATGTAGCAAATATGAAACACCGCAATACACCGAGAATGATGTATAATGATGTAGTTTCTCGGCGTATTGCGGTGTTACATATTTGCTACATTTTTATCGACTTTTCGCCGCAAGAACTCCTTGGAGCCCGTCGAGCAGCCTGCTACAGTGGCCTTTTCTTCATTCACACAAATCCCCACAATGCCCTTGCAAACTGACTGTCTTATTCTCAGTTCTGAGTTGTCGTCATCGATTTTGCATCTTGCTATCTACAGACCTTCCTTAAAAAGGAACCTAGATTCGAAATATTGTTTATGCAAAATGGCAAATAACAGAACGCCATTTTTATTTTTCAAACATAGTGTAAACATAAGAATTTTTTCAAACAGCTGACCTGCTCTTTATCATCTACACCTATGGCGTATGCAATAAATATTTTGAAAAATAAGTCTATCTAGACGATTCCTCTAATCTTTTTAACTTTTTAATTTCAGAAATTGACCCTATTTGATTTCTCTACAATAATGAAGATACTTTTGAATCTTCGAAGATTTACCTGTAATTTGCTTGATTTGGCAAATACATTGGTGAGATTTAATTGACCAACGTTATAACCATTGCAATCTTGTATGACCGTAAACGATATGGGCATCAGAAGTAGAAGGAAAGGAATTATTTCTCACTTTTCTCATCCTTTCTTTATTTTCTATATTTCATTACGATTCATAGCTTTTTTAAGCTTAGAAAGAAAGATCCGGTATGCTTAAGATAGTTAATATAATGTTGTTATTTTCTTATTATTTTAATAATTAAAAGTTGTTTAGTGAGTCATTGACCCAGTCAACAAATTTTGGCACTTTAGAAGACACAATTCTTGATTCTGGCTCCAGGCAGTGGCCAGTCTCTTGACTCACAACACCATGTAAAATGTAGTGGCCTTCAGAATCCTGGCAAATAATTGGCCCCCCAGCATCACTTATACAGCTGTTCTCAAGAAACCCGATTTTCTGCAAGCACATCATTTGCTCTGTTACCAGCAATCCGACCATGTCATCTCCATTTGTTCGACATAACGAAGTGTTTCGAACAAGAGCCCCAGCTTCTTGTAACATTGCATGCGAACTTTGTAGATCATCTGTGGAGCCCCATCCTTAAACAAATGCATTTTATGTACTAAATATATAGGTTTTTGCTGAAACGAGTAGAGCTCATACAGCTATTTCTATTGTGATGTGTATAATATTTTTTTGCAGAAAAGACTTATTAATTCCATATTTCTAGTGTCTCAATTTTTTACATGTTCAAATAGAACCTTCTAAAGTAATGTAAATCTATTGAGTTTACCATTGTTTTTAACTTCATATTTTCCTGTTGTAAACAACATCAACAAGATCAGCAACACGATTTCCTTCTAGCGAAACTGAGCCATTTATGAACAAACCAGATGGTCAAAGGAACGTTCTTTTCCCAACCAGCAAATCATACAACAGGGAATATTATCTAAACACTCTTTATAATCTGTGAAAGTCAGCTATATATAAGGCTCAGTTATAGGTTTATCTTAAAAAAATTCTGAAATTTCGTAACGAAAAATGACAATATGCAAGTCTAATGTCAAGTTTGAAAAACATATTATACACAGATCTTAAGATGAAATAGAAGGGGAAAATCTTTGGTGTCATAGGTGAAAATGTTCAAATATTGACAGTTGGGACAAGAATTGGCTCAGACGCTCACTGGGACTGTTGTTCTCTTTGTTTTTAATAATCATGCAAAATATTGCCATAAATAAGCAAACCATATTTGTGTTACCTGTTACGTAACAGGAGGAGCCTTCCTTTGCTGTAGCATTTCTATTAGGAACGGTAGCCGTTTTTATTTTGTCACTAAGAGCAACTGCGTTTTCAAGCCTCAACAGTGCAATGTCGTTTTGCTTTGTCGAACTGCTGTAATCTGGATGGATTATGACCTGTTCTACGCCATATCGCTGCTCCTTCGCTTCGTTAAACTCTCTGTGCAAATCACCAACAATAACTGCCAAAGAACCATTGCCATCAATACCTCCAAATGCTTCTACGCAACGGGCAGCTGTCAGTACCCAACGTGATGCAATCAAGGTACCCCCACAAACAAACACCCCATTTCGGTACACTGCACTCTGCCAAGGCCAATCTCCTTCAGCCGCTGTTTCACCCTTTGTTAGTCTGTCTGTGTTGGCTCCAAACATGCTTCCGCTGCCACTCGCTTTAAATTTAGAGAAGTGAACGATTAATCAAAAACTTATCTTATTAAGATTTTTTCTATGTGAACTAATCCCTACTAGTGAACATTTTCTAGCCCTAGTCAGTCCTTTACGCTGTCTAGTGAACTAATCCAACGATATATAAATTGTTCTTTCAGAGAACACGGCAATAAATTTTTCTGAAAAATTGATAAAAGAGAATTAATCCTACATTTTGTTTCAAGTTACTATGAATGAAGAGGGATTGCAACTTAGGATCAAAGATTGCTAGGGAAACTTAAGTCTGAAAAGAAATAATAATAAATATTGCAAGAAAAAGTAAAACGTTTTGCAGCATACATGGATAAAGTTTTGTCAGCAATGGCTCTAAAGTATGACGAAAATGGTAGATGAAGATAAGGTATAGTCATTATTAATTTGCCTCAACACGAAGAAATTTTGATATTTTTAAAAGAAGTGTCATCTTACGAAAAAGTAATGCTTGATAGTTGGCATAAAAACCGCTTCTAGTTACACTCCCGTCCGTTGTAAATGTCAGAACGAGGTTGTTGCCCGGTGAATCAATCTGAGTTCCGGAAGTGACCGGTCCTGTAAAATTGTTCAAGGACACCAAACTTCCATCACGTAAAGCATATACCCTCAAGTAGTCATAGTTCTGTTCCAAATCGAATGACTGTATTGTAAGACGGATATATCTTCGACCGGGAACGGTGATGAAGTATCCGCATTTTTCGTTGTTTAGGTAATTGTTGCCATACCCAGGTGAATAAATACTACCACTCAATGAAGTGCGAATAGTCTGAGTGCAAGCTGCAAAGAGACAAGATACAATGTGAATTCTAAATCAAAGATATACAGGTGAACAGGAAAGACACATAATTAGTTTATGAATCACTGGCTAAGTTCATAATAAATATCCTTAATTTCAATTTGGTTATCGTATCATTTCTCTCTTTTTTCTTTCACTCTAAAATTCAGATGTTAGTAGAATGGGAATCAATTTCCGTAATAAGTTTAAAAACCCTGTTATTTCTGTGATCTTTTCTAAAAACTCAAATGTTTCTTAATCTTCAGCATAAGGTGTTTTAACAAATGTATAGATTCCAGTAGCTGGAGTGACGACCGGGCTTTACCAATAATGCAAACAATCTTTTCATGGTACAAAACTTGTAAATGGCTTTGAAAAAAGCAAACATTTAGTAAACTAAAGCTTTTTGTCTGAAACTCTTCAGAGTTTGAAACGTCAGAACATAGATCAAAAACTCTACATAGATTTATTTGGCCTCGGGCCCCGCAATCACTAAAACCGATGCTGCACAGAGCTGAACTTTACCTGATCTGTAGTCTGCTGAGAATCCTAAGCCAGTAACGCTGGAGTCAGTCTGGAATGTGATGTACAAATTGCTTCCTGTTGACTGAATCTGTGTGCCTGCAGCACTGTTGCCAGTAAGAGTTGCCACTAAGCTTGCACTGGTACTCGTTCCATCATAGACACGTAAAAAGTCACAGCAAGATTCCATATCAATATTTCTTAGCAGAAGATTGATTGTATATGGTGCTGGCACAGTTATATGATAGTCGCAATTGGCATTGTTTGGGTACTGGTTCGGGTATCCAGGGGAAGAGAGACTGCCACTCAATGCATTTGCCAGCGTCGTTATTCTGCAATCTACGGTTTTAAGGAATTGATTATGCATCAAAAGTTTTCATTGCACGGCCTGTTGTGTTAATCTTTCGTCTAATCAGAAATCAATGCTAATCCATGATGAAAATATACAAGCAATTTGCTTGGGAATGAGTGAAAAAAAAGCTTTCTCTTAAAGATGAGGTAAAAATATAAATTCTTTAGAGGATAAATAACAACAAGTTTTCCATATGACAAGATGAGAAAAGTCTTTCTACATAAGGAAGATCTTGACCACTTTCTAGCCTCCATACTGCAACAAATGTTATTTATTCATTTGCGTAAATGTTGATTGGAAAATTGTAGAAAACCTTAACTCACGTGATACATAAGATGCTTGGAAGCCAGTGCCTACAACGCTCGAGTCAGTGGTGAACTTGATAAAGAGATTGTTGTCGGATGACTGTAAATGAAATCCAGCATCACTTTTGCCAGTAAGGGAAGTCAAGAGAGTTGCATTGCTGTTCGTACCGTCGTATATTCGCAGAAAGTCACAGCACGTTTCCATATCAATGTGGTTGAAGGTTATTCTGATGGTATGTGGTTTAGGGACGGATATCAGGTAGTCGCAATCCGCATCACTGGGGTAATGATTAGGGTAGCCAGGTGAGTTCAGACTCCCGCTTAATGAGCTAAAAAAGCTTGAAGTGCAGTCTGTTGATAGAAAGGTGAATATTTTGAAGAATTGTGCGTGGCTGTTTCACAATGGATTTAAAATATTTTGCATACAGGTAAATCGACAACAGGGATGAGCAAGATGCTCTATAAAGTATGCTGCTGGAAGAAAATACAACAAAACTAAATTCAGTAGAAGATACTAGTTACCCGTTGAAGTTCCTAAAAATGAAATTTCGCGCATATTTTCTTTGAAAGAAATTGAAACTTCTACATATTGTTGCAATATAAAACGAAAATTAACTCAAAACCTTGCTTTGAGTTAAAAATGACTAACATGACTAAAAATCAACCCCTTGTGCTACTTTACGGCATGACTTCATTCATGACGATATTTTGATATCTCTGCTGGAAGTAAGTACAATAGCAGGAAACTTTACAATAGGTGGCAATCTGACATGCAGAAAATGATAGGATATAGACCCAATCTGTGAATTGGCCCTTTGTTTTATTTTTAGGCTGGGGTACACTGCCCAAGACCATTTTAGACGGTGTTATCGTGTTTCAATCGTACTTTGGTACAACCGCATGAAGCTTTGTGACGTCACGGATAACACGCGCTTTGTCACAGTCGAAAACGTGAAAATGGGACATTCATCCAACAAAAAAAATCACCTCAACATATATCATAAAAAGGGGGGGGCGGGGCGGAGGGGCCAAGGCCTCCCACTTTTCTGCAAAGCAAGTAGTTTTAAGGCTGCAGTAAATGGGAAAAACGCATTGCCCCTATTTCTGCTAGCCTTAGCCACCCCCACTTTCAATTCGTGGCGTAAGCCCTGAAACAAATGCACATAAAATGCACGAAAACAAACGCACGTAAAAATGTATGGAAACAAATGCGCGTAAAAATGCATGGAAACAAAAACACGTAAAATTCATGGAAACAAATGCACGTAAAATGCATGGAAACAAGTACACGTAAAAATGCATGAAAACAAATACACGTAAAAATGAATAGAAACAAATGCACGTAAAATGCATGGAAACAAATGCACGTAAAATGCATAGAAACAAATGCACGTAAAATGCATAGAAACAAATGCACGTAAAATGCATGGAAACAAATGCACATAAAATGCATGGAAACAAATGCACGTAAAACGCATGAAAACAAACGCACGTAAAAATGTATGGAAACAAATGCACGTAAAATGCATGGAAACAAATGCACGTAAAGTGCATAGAAACAAACGCACGTCAAATGCATGGAAACAAATGCACGTAAAATGCATGGAAACAAATGCACATAAAATGTATGGAAACAAATGCACGTAAAATGCATGGAAACAAATGCACGTAAAGTGCATAGAAACAAACGCACGTCAAATGCATGGAAACAAATGCACGTAAAATGCATGGAAACAAATGCACATAAAATGTATGGAAACAAATGCACGTAAAATGCATGGAAACAAATGCACGTAAAGTGCATAGAAACAAACGCACGTCAAATGCATGGAAACAAATGCACGTAAAATGCATGGAAACAAATGCACATAAAATGTATGGAAACAAATGCACGTAAAATGCATGGAAACAAATGCACGTAAAGTGCATAGAAACAAACGCACGTCAAATGCATGGAAACAAATGCACGTAAAATGCATGGAAACAAATGCACATAAAATGTATGGAAACAAATGCACGTAAAATGCATGGAAACAAATGCACGTAAAGTGCATAGAAACAAACGCACGTCAAATGCATGGAAACAAATGCACGTAAAATGCATGGAAACAAATGCACATAAAATGTATGGAAACAAATGCACGTAAAATGCATGGAAACAAATGCACGTAAAGTGCATAGAAACAAACGCACGTCAAATGCATGGAAACAAATGCACCTAAAATGCATGAAAACAAACGCACGTAAAAATGCATGGAAACAAATACACGAAAAAATGCATGGAAACAAATGTACGTAAAAATGCATGAAAACAAACGCACGTAAAAATGTATGGAAACAAATGCACGTAAAATGCATGAAAACAAATACACGTAAAACGCATGAAAACAAACGCACGTAAAAATGCATGGAAACAAATACACGTAAAAATGAATAAAAACAAATGCACGTAAAATGCATGGAAACAAATGCGCGTTAAAATGCATGGAAACAAATACACGTAAAATGCATGGAAACAAATGCACGTAAAATGCATGGAAACAAATACACGTAAAAATGCATAGAAACAAATGCACGTAAAATGCGTGGAAACAAATGCGCCTTAAAAATGTATGGAAACAAATGCACGTAAAATGCATGGAAACAAATACACGTAAAAATGCATAGAAACAAATGCACGTAAAATGCATGGAAACAAATGCACGTAAAATGCATGAAAACAGACGCACGTAAAAATGCATGGAAACACATACATGTAAAAATGCATGGAAACAAATACACGTAAAAATGCATGGAAACAAATACACGTAAAAATGCATGGAAACAAATACATGTGAAATTCATTGAAACTCATGCACGTATCATGCATGGAAAATAGGTGTCAAGTAACCCACGCTCACTGCGTCTCGTCTTACGTGACTGCCACGATAGAACTCTGTGCTGCTATAAAACATTCAGGTGCTAAATTTCCAATATCAGATCTTGATCAAAACCAAATGGAATGGAATTACACGATTGCACTACTCAGGATTGTCAAATATGGCAATCAAATGCAACGGAATTCCTTGGTCTGAGCTATCCGTCCAAAAGATAATGAACACTATTATTATCTATTACTTCAATTTAGTACTTCAATTTATCTATTATTGTCTCAACTAGTACTTCGCCACTTCAATTTTCGCTTTCTGATTCAATGTTTTGCCAAGGTCAGTTTTCATTGTTGCATGTCTCAAGCAAAAATTATTTTATGATTTATTCACTGAATAGCAGGGAGTAGCAAATTTGGAACACAGAAGAAGGCCTTGTGGTACCCTTCCTCGGATAACCATTTAAATCATTTTTTGCATGCCTTGAAAAAGACTATCCTTGTTTCCCAAAGATGGCTTCCAAAGCGCTAGAGATAAAAACTAAACATTGATAACAGAATCACCATCCAACAAATGTAATCGACATTCAAAAAGTCCGAAAAAGTTTGCAAAAGGCGATTTTTTGTGTGTTTGATTCAAGAAATCTGTTTTCTTTTATCTAAGTATTCCAAAACTTTCTAGCACAACATGATAATGATACCTCTTGACTTACCATAGGCTCTCGCAGGGATCAATAAACCAAGAAACAGGAAGATTGTGCTCAGCTCCATGTTGTTGCTGTAGACCTGGAATTAAATCTGATCAACGTGGACTGTCAGAGCTCTTATAAGACTGAAAATTGTAACCAAGGCACAGCTGATAAACTATTAAGATTTTAAAGTTTACAAAGCTGTCTTGTACAGTTATATTACGGTTACAGTTTATTAAAATTTTTGGTCTTAATTTTTGCAATATACTGCTTTTTCCTTTTAATTAATATAGACTTGATTAAAACAGAGCTCATTTCAATTTTAGACAATTATTGGGAACTTAATTATCAAAGTACCTTTTTGGGACATTGACAGTTCGAAACATTGACCCTCAAAACTTTCAGACGAGATCAAACAGAAAGTCTGACTTGATAGTATGGTTCCATAACTGATGAAATTTCTTCAGTTATAACCACTGGTGTAGTGCTATCAAAACAACAGGGAGGGCTCTTGCACAAAATGTTGGGGAAAACAATAGCAAAAGTAGAAAATTGCCGATTCTCGGCATTATCAAGAGGGGCTCAGACCCCCTGAGTTATAAATGCCAATTCGAGACATTTAATGATCCAATCAGATTGGTTCCTGAGATTTTGTACTATCCTTGGAGCTATCTGCCATGGGTAGGTTTCATAACAGACAAGGCGGGCGCGGGTTGCCATGCAATTTCTTTAGCATACTTCAACATTGTTGGTCAAGAAATATTAGCAAGCCAGCTGTCAGTTGACGGCAATGTCGAAGGGCTAGAAATAAAGCCTGTATAATAATGAAAACAATAGAGATTTATATTGGAATGTTGTTGCTGATGATAGCACTATATAATAATAATATAATAATAAATAATTTGTTTAAAGTTGGCGTACTAAATGAACGGTTGATAGCTATAAAGAAGCTAATTAAGGCCAACTATCTATAAAGAGTTAGTATGAAATAAAAATATATGATACAATATTAAAAAGGTTAAAGGTATAATGTTCTAAATAAAACCTAACCCAGCAATAAATTTTTTACACAATCTACAGTCGCATTCTATAGGGTGTGCTCTTAATTCTTTTTTAAATGTTGCCAATGATTGGGACTCTCTTATACTGTGAGGTAGTGTTTGCCACAGTTTTTGACCTAAATATCTCACAGTTTCTATACCATAAGAAGTTGTCCTGGCTTTTGGAATGCAAAGATTATTTTTAGTTCGCAAATCATAATGTACATTTCTTGTTTCAAAAAATCTCACTCATGAAACTAGGGTTCAGGTTATGTTTGGTTTTGTATATTTCTATCATCAAGTACTGTAGATTGCGTTGGTGAATTGATACTGCATTATCCAAAGTCAGCAATGCTTCGTAGTCAGCATGACTGTCTTTATAAACAATTCTGAGTGCTCTTTCGTGGATTTTATTTACTTTAGCATTCAGACATCTGTCATGGAACATCCAAATTAGGGGGCAGTAACTAAACTGAGCTTTTATGAAGCTGTTCATTAGGAGACGCAGTTTATCAGAACCCATAAATGGCGAAACTCTAGCAAGAGCATGCAGTTTTTGGCTGGCTCTTTTGCATAAATTTGAGACGTGACTTTTGAAATTAAGATTTTTATCTATTATCACCCCTAGCAGTTTTTCTTCAGAGCTTTCTTCAACAATGGCCTCACCGATTTTGATCTTAAAGTCATCTTGATTTGTTCCAAAAGTAAGAAGATGACATTTCCCTGCATTCAATTTCATAAAGTTTTCTGGAAACCATTTTGATAAAATAAGAGCATCAGTTTCTAGCCGTTCTAAAACTTTATCTAATTGACAGAACAAGATCTTTATCTAATTAACTAACAAACAAGAAAGCATTTCTGTTATCATGACTGATGACTGGGGTGAATGAAAAGATAAAATGCCTCAATTTACAAAAGTCATTTGGAATTTATTCGCTAGCTGTAGTTCTTTTTGGTTCTAAAACTTTAAATGAAAGAAAAATTTCCGAAAAAATAGGAACAGTATTTGTGATAGGTATACCCATAAAATGATAAAATTCAAAGGTGTATTCAAATCATGAAAATATAGATAATTAATAATAACATATACAAAATAATTATATTCTAGATAACAATATACCCGGCAGGTTTTCAGATGTCCACACATTTCGACCGACAAATATTTTCAGATGATTATATGTTTGGATCACAGCATTGTCCGAATTTTTTATCGTCAAGAATTTTCGAAAATCAATGTGTCCAAAGTGACATTTATTGGAAGAGTAGCGGTACTGGTAGCCTGCGTGCAGCCTCTACTGTTACTGCGGAGGAAGACGGAGAGGAGGAGGAAAGAGCGTTTTGCTACGGGACTGGAGGAATGTGTCCGTTTATTGCATCAAACTGACTTCAGAACTATCTTCATTATCTGGGTTGATGATTATTATCAAGTGTCTGTATTGACACAACTGAGAAAACATTTCATTTTCAAATATTTTTCTGTCCGGCAACTGCAAATAAAAAATTCATTATCCTGGCGCCCATCCACAATTTCACTGCCGAAAGGATAACTATTTTGCGCTATCTGGGACATTGATTCTTTAAAAATGATGTGCTGCAAGAACACGAATTAGAAAAAAATAGGTAGTATGGGTAAGCCAGATGTTATTTGACTTTCTAAAAACATTCTAAAAAATTGTCAAAATGTGTTAAGAAACATTTTGCGTGTTACAAATAATGTATTCTTTTCAAGAGAGTTTTCAAATATCAGGGGTTAAAATTTGTAGATTTGTCAGCTATGGCAATCTACTCTTCGCGGTAGATCAGAAGAGAGAAACTGGTCGTTTTGGATATAATGGACAGGGTGAGGGTGCCAATTGGTGTCCATTGCGTTGCAGGTTTTATAATCTTCAATAAGCTTCATATGCACATGGACCAGAGATTATTGTACCTACGCGCAAAATAGAACAGTTTTTATATATAAAATGTATCTAGACATAGTAAAAGATAACTAAGTGCCCATAATCAAGAGAGCCTGGCATCAGGATGTAACCCGGTGTGCAGGATGTGCCAATTTCTGCAAACCGGTGGGTGCAATGCATATTGGAAAGTCTATCTTTTGATCCAAAACTGTCGTGGATGTGTCAACAAAGATGACATCCCTCAGTATGTTTGGCCTTAAACGAAGCCTGAAAACAAATTAAAGAGCTTTCCATAAAATTTTGTTTATCATGTCAGGTGATAAAAAATACTCTCGTGCAAGGAAAATTCACAATACTGACATGGTTGTTCCTACTAGCTGTTTCCATGCAATTGAAAAAGTATTTTTTTATCTTTAAATGAAATATAAGGTGCAAACTTTAATATGTATTGAAGGAAAAAAGAGTAGAGGTATAGAAGACTTTGAAATTTTATTTGTCTAATCATTTCTGGCAGTTAAGTAGCGCATCTCCTTAGTCTCAACCCAAACAGGTGTGGATACAACAGGCCATCCAATTCAAGGTACTTAGCAGAATTATAATAAATTACCTTCTCGACTGCTTTTGATACAGAACCAGTGACCGTGACATGTCAATAACCATCAACAATTGTAGTCTGCCTAATTTATAAAACATGTTACGTTGCGTGTATGCAATGGCTTACCCAGTCTGATAGAAGTGGTCATGCTCTTCTCTTTTTTACAAAAATTTTGAAATTTATCAATCTATTAGCAATGCAATTATAGCAAACAAGGGCTTTAAAAAAGTAGCTGATCTTGCACATTTGCAAATGAACAAACAATGATAATAAGCGATTAAAACACTGCAACATACTCTACTTTTCTCTGGACATTTCCATAATAATCATCTATAAGAAGTAAAACTATACTTTTAACTTTAAAAAAGGTGACTTAAAGTTTAAGTTTCAGTTCAATTACAAAGCAAAACATTATTATTTAATAACTTTTTTGCATTTGATAATAAACCAAAAATTGAAGAAATGGAATAAGATAATTCACTGAAATTTTCTGGATTTTTTATTGGCATCAATTTTATTTGGCATCAATGAAATTTTCTGGATTTTTTTACTTGTATTTGGTCTACCTAATTTCATTAGTACCTGAGAACATGAGGTCAAAAGTGTCTTCAAAGGTGTTTGATTTAATGTGGAAGGACCCAAAAACTTAAATCATGACTCAGCGTAGTTGGGTATAACTTTTATAATGGATGTGGTGCGGCCATATGAATTTAGTGACAGTCTAGGGACAAGGAACCTAAAAAATATTTCTGTGAATTCCAATTATTATACGCACTTTTTACTGAAGACTTTTGTATGGTTAGGTTTATACACCGGGACGGATTAAAGTGGCAAGGATTAGGGGGGGGGGGATGTTAGATAATTATTGGATTTTGGTGTCGCACCCTTCAGATACTTCAGATGACTGGAAAATGATGAAAACACTTCGCACCTCAAGATAAAGAAGATAAACAATTAAATTTTTGCATTACTTTGCTACTACTGACCACCAAAAATGCTTTTTTCCGAAACCGAATCAAAACAAATTTACCAAAAGACAAAAATATTTGCACCTCCTACACCCTCCCCGGTAAATCCGTCCCTTTTTATACAAACATAGTTTAATGATTTATAAGATTGAACTGTAATATGGTTCGCATTTGATGACAAATATGAAATTGCTTTAATTTAACCATTGGCATTGTTAACTCCTGAAATAAAGTACATCTTAAACTACCTCTTGAATGCACTTCTGTTATCTCTCAGTGTTTGTTCATCATCTGCTCCTGATGTATAGAAATCAGAAACAAGTCTTGAGGGCAAACTCTTCAAGGTCTTTAATGCAGATTGGCTGGCTCGTCATTTTCAAAAATTCCGAGGAGATACCGCAAACTGTTACAAGTGAAAATGCAAAGCAAAGGTCATATTAGGTTGACATAGGTCATATTGATTGGAGAGCATTCACTGACCCTAGGCGACCTGTGATTCGTTAATACAGTCAAAAATCTCTTGGACGTGAATGACACATAGTTAATTGAATTATTCTATCCGAATTCATGTTCGAGTCCCTGGCATGACCAAAGTTTCACCCAGAGTGGGGAGAGTCGCCAGCTCTCTGTAATTCCAAGCGTAGGAATCACGAGGTGTGGTCACATCGAGAGGAAGGACCAGGACACTGCTCGACAAGCGTAGCTGCTCAGTGTCCTAAAAACTACCTTCGGATGCTAGATAGCAACAGATACAAATACAAAATGCAAATTTCCTGGGCAAAGGAAAAGGTCAAAGGAATAAGATGATGGATGTGTTCATTGTGGCCGTGTCACAAAGATAAAGACTTTTGGCCTTTGGTTGATTTAGGATGATTGTGTAACTAGATTCATTATGTGAAAGCGTTTCTCCTCCTTTGCACATGACCTTTGCCATTGCACAGTTTATGAACATGAGACAGATTCCCAGATCTATGAAAAAATTTCCTGAAAGCGGAGGTATGGTTTGAAAGAGGGAGAAAGGGAGAAGAACGATTGATTTAATGAATATAGAATTTTAGAATATTGATATTCCTGTGCTCAAGCAACGGAAGTCGATCTAATTCTGCATACACCCAGAGGGACGTTGTAGAATTTTCAACACCTAAAGTTGACTTCTACTTCTACTTCTGCTTCTACATTGATACTGAGCAGGACCGAGTAGCGGTATAATGCTCAGAGTGCAAGAAATAATAGATTAACGGATAAAACGTGCTAGAAGATGCCACTGATCAATGATTAGATTGATTGAACATTTACGTGTCAAATGAGAAGCTGTAATTTTGTTTGTCGGCAAGATCAAATCAAAAAGGGACTCCTTGGATTAACAACGTTTATGTTCTTCAGTTCAATTTCTTTCTGAAACTTCCTCTTAAATGTCTCTTCTTTAAGTTGCCTGTATTCGATTGGCAACTTTCAACATGTGATAGTTGCTGGGAAAAATGAATACAAATATGTGTTGGTATTAGCGCCAATATTGATAAACTGCCGTTGACTTTATCCTTGAAGCTGTATTGGTGCCATTATGTAGGATTGAATGTTAACAGCAATATTATCATTTACTGCCTTATGGAAGAGACATGACCTTGCAATAGAGCGTCTTTCTTGAAGGGTTGGCCATTTGAGTTCTTTTAACATATCAGAGACACTAGAGTGTCGATCATAACCTCTCCTTGCTAATCTTGCAGCTCTCCTTTGTATTGCCTCGATTTTCTTTATATGATTTGCTTGATGAGGATCCCATACTGTAGATGCATACTTTAAAACTGGTCTTACTATTGTAGTGTATGCTTTCGCCTTTGTCTTTTCTGGATAGCTGTAAAGATTTTTTCGAACAAGATTGAGGACATTTGTAGCTTTCTTTGTGATGTTGTTTACATGGCTGTTCCAGCTCAGATTTAAAACTAATTCTAATCCTAGGTACGGATGGTGCACAATTACCTCAAGTTCTTCTCCTAACATGTTGTATATAGTAGCTACAGGACGTTTCTTGTTTGTTATTCTAAGAACTTTGCACTTGTCTACATTGAAATCCATCTTCCAGTCATTTGACCAAGCAAGGAGATTATCAATGTCCTTCTGTAAAGTTTTTCCATCTGATGGTGTTGAAATTTTTCTGTACACTAAACAGTCATCAGCAAATAGTTTGACCGTGGTATCATCACCTATCTTTTCTCCATGTCATTTATGAAGATGAGAAACATCAGTGGTCCAAGGACTGTTCCCTGCGGAACGCCTGACTGGACATGTACTGCTTTTGAGCAGATACCGTCTATAACTTCTCTTGTTCTCGTGTTACCAACCAGTTTTGGATCCTTTTGTTTATCTTGCCGTCGATCCCATAGAACTTTAATTTATATAGCAGTCTTTGATGTTCTACTTTGTCAAAGGCCTTGCTGAAGCCGAGTATCAGAAGGTCTAGTTGCTCCCGTTTATCAAGATGCCTTGGGAGATATTCTATGGAGCTAACAAGTTGTGTTTTACAGTTGTGCCTTTTCCTGAATCCATGCCGAAAAGGAACTTTAATCCAAGCCGAAAAGCCTCTTTTAGACTTGCTAGCCATCAGATGAAATTCCCATTTAC